ATCACGGTGTTGATGGGGTGGATCGGGTGTTGAGGGGTGGATCACGGTGTTGATGGGGTGGATCACGGTGTTGATGGGGTGGATCGCGGTGTTGATGGGGTGGATCGCGGTGTTGATGGGGTGGATCACGGTGTTGGATGGGTGGATCACGGTGTTGATGGGGTGGATCGCGTGTTGATGGGGTGGATCACGGTGTTGATGGGGTGGATCACGGTGTTGATGGGGGGATCGCGTGTTGATGGGGTGGATGCGGTGTGAGGGGTGGATCGCGGTGTTGATGGGGTGGATCGCGGTGTTGATGGGGTGGATCGCGGTGTTGATGGGGTGGATCGCGGTGTTGATGGGGTGGATCGCGGTGTTGATGGGGTGGATACGGTGTTGATGGGGTGGATCACGGTGTTGATGGGGGGATCACGGTGTTGATGGGGGGATCGGTGTTGATGGGGGGGTCACGAGTGTGTGATGGGGTGGATCGGTGTTGATGGGGTGGATCGCGTGTTGATGGGGTGGATCGCGGTGTTGATGGGGTGGATCCGGTGTTGATGGGGTGGATCACGGTGTTGATGGGGTGGATCGCGGTGTTGATGGGGTGGATCGCGGTGTTGATGGGGTGGATCGCGTGTTGATGGGTGGATCGCGGTGTTGATGGGGTGGATCGCGGTGTTGATGGGGTGGATCGCGGTGTTGATGGGGTGGATCGCGGTGTTGATGGGGTGGATCGCGGTGTTGATGGGGTGGATCACGGTGTTGATGGGGTGGATCACGGTGTTGATGGGGTGGATCGCGGTGTTGATGGGTGGATCACGGTGTTGATGGGGTGGATCACGGTGTTGATGGGGTGGATCGCGGTGTTGATGGGGTGGATCGCGGTGTTGATGGGGTGGATCACGGTGTTGATGGGGTGGATCACGGTGTTGATGGGGTGGATCACGGTGTTGATGGGGTGGATCGCGGTGTTGATGGGGTGGATCACGGTGTTGATGGGTGGATCACGGTGATGATGGGGTGGATCACGGTGTTGATGGGGTGGATCGCGTGTTGATGGGGTGGATCACGGTGTTGATGGGGTGGATCGCGGTGTTGATGGGGTGGATCGCGGTGTTGATGGGGTGGATCGCGGTGTTGATGGGGTGGATCGCGGTGTTGATGGGGTGGATCGCGGTGTTGATGGGGTGGATCGCGGTGTTGATGGGTGGATCACGGTGTTGATGGGGTGGATCACGGTGTTGATGGGGTGGATCACGGTGTTGATGGGGTGGATCACGGTGTTGATGGGGTGGATCACGGTGTTGATGGGGTGGATCACGGTGTTGATGGGGTGGATCGCGGTGTTGATGGGGTGGATCACGGTGTTGATGGGGTGGATCATGGTGTTGATGGGGTGGATCGCGGTGTTGATGGGGTGGATCGCGGTGTTGATGGGGTGGATCGCGGTGTTGATGGGGTGGATCGCGGTGTTGATGGGGTGGATCACGGTGTTGATGGAGTGGATCACGGTGTTGATGGGGTGGATCACGGTGTTGATGGGGTGGATCACGGTGTTGATGGGGTGGATCTCGGTGTTGATGGGGTGGATCACGGTGTTGATGGGGTGGGTCACGGTGTTGATGGGGTGGATCTCGGTGTTGATGGGGTGGGTCACGGTGTTGATGGGGTGGATCTCGGTGTTGATGGGATGGATCACGGTGTTGATGGGGTGGATCGCGGTGTTGATGGGTTGGATCGCGGTGTTGATGGGTTGGATCACGGTGTTGATGGGGTGGATCACGGTGTTGATGGGGTGGATCACGGTGTTGATGGGGTGGATCACGGTGTTGATGGGGTGGATCACGGTGTTGATGGGGTGGATCACGGTGTTGATGGGGTGGGTCACGGTGTTGATGGGGTGGATCGCGGTGTTGATGGGGTGGATTGCGGTGTTGATGGGGTGGATCGCGGTGTTGATGGGGTGGATCGCGGTGTTGATGGGGTGGATCGCGGTGTTGATGGGGTGGATCGCGGTGTTGATGGGGTGGATCGCGGTGTTGATGGGGTGGATCGCGGTGTTGATGGGGTGGATCGCGGTGTTGATGGGGTGGATCACGGTGTTGATGGGGTGGATCACGGTGTTGATGGGATGGATCGCGATGTTGATGGAGTGGATCACGGTGTTGATGGGGTGGATCACGGTGTTGATGGGGTGGATCACGGTGATGATGGGGTGGATCGCGATGTTGATGGGGTGGATCATGGTGTTGATGGGGTGGATTGCGGTGTTGATGGGGTGGATCACGGTGTTGATGGGGTGGATCGCGGTGTTGATGGGGTGGATCGCGGTGTTGATGGGGTGGATCACGGTGTTGATGGGGTGGATCACGGTGTTGATGGGGTGGATCACGGTGTTGATGGGGTGGATCACGGTGTTGATGGGGTGGATCACGGTGTTGATGGGGTGGATCACGGTGTTGATGGGATGGGTCACGGTGTTGATGGGGTGGATCACGGTGTTGATGGGGTGGATCGCGGTGTTGATGGGGTGGATCACGGTGTTGATGGGGTGGATCATGGTGTTGATGGGGTGGATCGCGGTGTTGATGGGGTGGATCGCGGTGTTGATGGGGTGGATCGCGGTGTTGATGGGGTGGATCACGGTGTTGATGGGGTGGATCGCGGTGTTGATGGGGTGGATCGCGGTGTTGATGGGGTGGATCACGGTGTTGATGGAGTGGATCACGGTGTTGATGGGGTGGATCACGGTGTTGATGGGGTGGATCACGGTGTTGATGGGGTGGATCTCGGTGTTGATGGGGTGGATCACGGTGTTGATGGGGTGGGTCACGGTGTTGATGGGGTGGGTCACGGTGTTGATGGGGTGGATCTCAGTGTTGATGGGATGGATCACGGTGTTGATGGGGTGGATCGCGGTGTTGATGGGTTGGATCGCGGTGTTGATGGGGTGGATCACGGTGTTGATGGGGTGGATCACAGTGTTGATGGGATGGATCGCGATGTTGATGGAGTGGATCACGGTGTTGATGGGGTGGATCACGGTGTTGATGGGGTGGATCGCGGTGTTGATGGGGTGGATTGCGGTGTTTATGGGGTGGATCACGGTGTTGATGGGGTGGATCACGGTGTTGATGGGGTGGATCACGGTGTTGATGGGGGATCACGGTGTTGATGGGGTGGATCGCGGTGTTGATGGGGTGGATTGCGGTGTTGATGGGGTGGATCACGGTGTTGATGGGGTGGATCACGGTGATGATGGGGTGGATCGCGATGTTGATGGGGTGGATCACGGTGTTGATGGGGTGGATCGCGGTGTTGATGGGGTGGATCACGGTGTTGATGGGGTGGATCACGGTGTTGATGGGGTGGATCACGGTGATGATGGGGTGGATCGCGATGTTGATGGGTGGATCACGGTGTTGATGGGTGGATCGCGGTGTTGATGGGGTGGATCGCGGTGTTGATGGGGTGGATCGCGGTGTTGATGGGGTGGATCGCGGTGTTTGATGGGTGGATCGCGGTGTTGATGGGTGGATCACGGTGTTGATGGGGTGGATCACGGTGTTGATGGGTGGATCACGGTGTTGATGGGGTGGTCACGGTGTTGATGGGGTGGATCGCGGTGTTGATGGGGTGGATCGCGTGTTGATGGGTGGATCGCGGTGTTGATGGGGTGGATCATGGTGTTGATGGGGTGGATCGCGGTGTTGATGGGGTGGATCGCGGTGTTGATGGGTGGATCGCGGTGTTGATGGGGGTGGATCGCGGTGTTGATGGGGTGGATCACGGTGTTGATGGGGTGGATCGCGGTGTTGATGGGATGGATCGCGGTGTTGATGGGTGGATCACGGTGTTGATGGGGTGGATCACTGTTGATGGGATGGATCGCGATGTTGATGGAGTGGATCACGGTGTTGATGGGGTGGATCACGGTGTTGATGGGGTGGATCGCGGTGTTGATGGGGTGGATCGCGGTGTTGATGGGGTGGATTGCGATGTTGATGGGGTGGATCGCGGTGTTGATGGGGTGGATCACGGTGTTGATGGGGTGGATCACGGTGGTTGATGGGGTGGATCGCGGTGTTGATGGGGTGATCACGGTGTTGATGGGGTTCACGGTGATGATGGGTGGATCACGGGGATGA